TTTTTTTTTTAATATCTAGAACACCAATTACCAATGGAGAATAGTATGTAAATAGTTATATTAATTTTAGAATTTTTTTGAAACAAATTTGAACTATCCCACATTTTACTCTATATGAAATTCAAAGTTATATTTTTAAATTTATTAATAAACATTTCTTATTTCTTTTTAGCTTATGTGATATAATCTAAATTTGGTTATTAAATTTATAAATTCAAACAACTAAAAGAAAATATAGCATATTTTTTTTGGTACATTTCATTTTATCTTAGCTTCCATATAATCACATTCCTAACAAACTAATTAATATAATAGTTTTATTCATATTTTTATAACAAGATTTCTTAAAAAATAACTAATATAATATTTTAACTAATTCATCATGTATCTAACTTGATTTATCTCATGAACAAACTTGCTAAAATTTTTTAATTTAAAATGTTTTGTTTATTCTTACAAATATACTTATCAAAATACTAAACATTATACAAACTTTTTGAAAACAAATTTGAATTATCCCGTCTTTTTTATTTGAAATTCAAATTACATTTTTATATATATTAATGAACAATTTTTTTTTTCTTATGTGATATAAATTAAATTTTGTTATTAGATTTTTAAAGATTCACAATAAATATAGTTATCTACCAAATTTTTTATTAATGACTCTCTTTTTTTCCCGTCATCCCTCACTCTTTTCCTCTTTTATCTTTTTCTTCTTTCCTTATTTCTTCTTCCTTCCCAAGAGCTAGACGGTCGGAATGTCACTGTGAACGAGGCTCAGTCCCAAGGTGGCGGTGGTGTTGGATTTCAAGGTGGGCCGCGTTGTGAGGGCGGAGGTGGTGGGTATGGTGGGGGCAACGGCAGTTGCTATGGAAGCCGAAGTGAAGGGGGGTGGTGGGAGTGGTGGAGGTGGACAGCAGCCATGGTGGCGGCAATTACGACACTGAAAAATGGGCCGAACTTCTAAAGAGCTCGTTTCCTTCCATAGAACAATATCATGGCAACGTAGGCCCAAGTGGTCATATTAAATCTTTGAAGGTAATTCACTTGCTTACTTACAACTTGGATGTTCACATGATGTTATTTATTTATTCTGATTATTCGAGGGGTGACGACGGTTCAGATGGTGGGAGCTGGAGGAATTAAAAAATAAAATTTTGAATGTTTTTGTTATGAATCATTATTTTGATTTGTGGCGTTTTTTGGTGCTTGCAGGTTATTGTATTTCATTATTTTGTTTGCATTAATAATGTTCTTCAGAATCTATAAAATTGAAATATTCACAAAGATTGAATCATGGTTAAAAATGATACTCCATAATATTTAATTTAATAATCATGATGCTTTTAAATAGAATTGATTTTAAACAGCCGGATGTAGTGTTTAATCAAATATTGTAGAGTATCTTTTTAAAACAATGAATCTGGTTGTTAAGGGAAGTTAAAACTGATTACATAATGTTTTGAGATTTGTTTGAAGGAATTGTGTTAAATTACTATAATTAAGATGTAATTAGTGTATAATGACAAGAAATGCTTACTATATTTGATTTAAGTCTATTCTTATTATATATATATAGATATAAATTAACAATCTTAGATTGAATAATTATTCTTTAAAAAAAAAAAACTGCAATATTTAATAATATTCCTTAAATAAAAATATTTTATAAATAGAAATATTGAATGATATATATTTTTCACTGTTTTTATGTACTTTATTTCCACAATAGGATAGAGATGGGAATAATATAAACAATTATATTTAAAATATAGTTTTAAAAAATTTAAAATAAACAATTTTATAGTTAAGTATCTTATTTTTTTTTTTTTTTGGCAACAAAGTGTCTTATTTTCGGTAGACATGGCCAGGTGTCGGGTCTGGGCCCGACTCGGCCCGCAGGGTCGGCGGGCCTCAATTGTTGGACCCGTAACCGGCCCGACAATTCCTATAAACCTGCCCAGCCCGGCGGTTCAATTTAAAAAATAAAAAAATAAAAAGTAACTATGGCCCGCCGGAAAAACCGGAATCAGCCCGGCTCGACGGATAAAAAAAAAAAAACCGAGACCGAACCTCATGGGCAGTCCGGTTCATAGCCCCGCACGATTCCGGGCCGGTGCCGGTGCCGATCCGGTCCGGCCCCGTGCCAATTTGCGGTCAGGGACCTGTGGCCATGTCTAATTTTGTGGTCTTCCTCTCTTTTAGGAAAAAATCCCCCAAATCGAACTTCAAACCCTCGGCCAAGATTTGTGTTATTCTTCTCCATGTTTTAAATACCGGTTCGTACCGGCCGGTATTACCGGTAATACCGGATACCGGTGGTCCGACCGGTACATTTACACTCAAAATACCGTTTTGGCCAAAATACCGGTTTCGTACCGGAAAATACCGGTTTTACCGGCAAATACCGGCCAAAATACCGGTCAAAATACCGGTTTATGCCATTTTTTTTAAAAAAAATATTTTTAATAGATTTTTATTATTTTATTTATATAAATTGAAACTACACTTAACTTTAATATGTTTATATTGTTATTAGATGTTAATTTATTTTAGTATTAATTAAAGTTAGTTTTGTATATTATTTATATAAAAATAACAAATTAATTTAATATTTATTAAAACCGGTAAAATAGACGGTAATACCGGTCGTACCGGTAATACCGCATACCGGTCGCTACACCGGTATGACGACCGGTACGGTTTTTAAAACATTGATTCCTATGGGGAGATTGTGTATTCTCCTATGAGGAGTTTTTTATTCTTCTTTTTCGTTATGTGGTGTGTGTTGTGGATTCTAGGCTGCCTAGTGTAGTCCTCCTATTTCGACTAATTAATCGGCTGTAATTATGTGTTTTTAGTTAATGAATCTATTGTTTTGAAAAAAAAAAAAAA